AGAGAGCTGAGTCCGGACAACGGGGCTCCGAGAGGAACGTCCGCTCGAGGGGGACCGGCCATCGAGGACCAGGCCACCCCCGAGCTTCAGCTCTCGTCGCCCTGCAGCATCCGTCTTTGGACACCCTCAAACATATGGAGATGATGCATGGCTGGACACGTAATCCCTCCTGCAAAGAATTCCGGCGTGGCAGCACAAAGAACTCCGGTACCCGTTAGTTATGTCGCATGAAAGATGGTCGCCTTTATTGCTCTGTTTGCCAAATCACCTCCTTCTTATAAAAGCCAAGAGCGAAGACTGATTTACAGCACTTTTACCAGTCTCTGGGAGAGAGCGTCTTCCTAAGCTCAAGATCTGTCCAGCCAGGAATTTATTGCAGGAACACAGCTAATAATTATCCCGCCGTATACACAAGTTGATTCTTTCAAGGCTGATCTTTCACCTGCTAGAATAAAGCAATCCCTCCAACGCATCTTGTGAATATCTGAAGGATGGATCTGCGAGAAGCCACCGGCATAAAGCAAATAACTATCTGGGAGTTCTTTATAAGAAGATTTTCCTCTGGGACACTCTCCTCATCTGAAGTTATGCGTGTCCATCACTCACCACCAACGCTGTTCTCTATTCATTTTCTAGGTGTGCAAATAACAGGTTTTATATAGCTATAAAAATACGACAATCAGCTGAGGTCTCTTTCATCTGCTTTTTTTTTTTCTTTTGCTGAGAATTTGTTTTCCAGTACATGTAGCCAGGAGTACGCATTGGAGGCTTTATTCTCAGTACCTGAAACCCACAATGGGTGAGCTGGAGATGATGAGAGACCCCAAATCCTTAAATCTGCTTCATTTATTGTTTGGTTTTTCGAAGACATAAGAAGCATTTAAAGTTGCTTTATTTTTTACAAATCTTGTTATAAACTGATGCGCAATCTCCTCCTAAGAGGGTAACGTTAAGGTTGTTAATGGGAAAGAAAGGAAAAAGCAGAAGAAACAATCCCAAGCGCCTTTTTTCCCCCCAAGGGTGCTGGAATCCACAAATGTACTTTGATTTATTGCCTAATGCGTGTATCGCAGCCCATCTACCATTGCTTATCTTACTCCAGTTCGTAACACACTGTTAACTACTGTATCCCCAGTCATAATCTCAGCTAAACAGGATAGAAATTTTATATTTCTCAGGGAGCTCGTTGCCTTTTTATAGTCTACGCGACACATATCCAAACAGTTTTGAGCATCCTATGGCCACAGCTGGAATACTAAAAGCAGAGGCTATTATCTGCAGGAGCTCACAGCCCCTTTTGGCTTTCACTTCTCATTTCAGTGTTGTCTAATCCCAATTTAGCACCGCAGCCTCTACAAGGGGTATATTTGGTCCCCATCCGAGCTCATTTATACTTGCTTTAATGCCAACTTACGTGCTGCTACTTCAGGTTCTACAGTTAATGGTGGTCAGCAACACGTGTGAATCTACATGTCTGCATAACATCAGTAGTAGGAGCAATCGGACTGATTATACCTCTCTATCTGAATAAAGCTTTCAAAATCCCCCAACAGAACACACACAACTTTTCTTGACCCCATTGGACGGTCCAAATTATGTGCAATAAATAAAAGCAAAAAGTACCGGTACTCTTATGAATCACAAAAAAAAAAAAAAAAAAGTGATTCTTTTACCCTGACATAAGTTTGGGGTAGAAATCACCGCTAGGGTAAAATCATTATTAGTTTCATAAAGGGTTGATTTGACCCTAACTCTCAGAAAAAGGAAGCTCAGATAAGCCTTCAACATCTCTCTGGTTACGCCCACGTTAACGGTGCCAGAAAGCGATGACAACTATTAATTAATATATCAAAACCTCACCGGGCTTTTAGAAAAAACACGCCAACAGCGAGCGTGGGCTCTGCTGGGTCATCGCCGGCCCCGGGTAGGGGGGACCCCCCTGACTGCTCGGCGGTGCCCCGCAGAGGAGCAGACACGTGCTGAGCGTGGCCCAAAACAATCGAGGCAGAGGGGGCCACGTTCCCCCCGCCACGGCCAGTCCTACCGCTTCATTTGTATTTCTAGCGGGCTTCTCCTCCGTCTGTGCCCGCTGGCCCCCCCTTCATCTCAGAGGAACCAGAGCAGCACTGTTTGAGGATCTGATTAAATAGCCAGAAAAAAAGTCATCTATCACTTAAAAAGGGAAACGGAGACAGTTCACAATGGTGTCCCGTAGCTCTTTAGGATTTTCTTTTCTTTTCCTTCTATTTTAATTTTAATCCGACGCCAAACGTAATAAACACCAACAGAAGAGCGTAAAATTCACTGACAGCATTTCCCTTGCAACGAGTAGCTGGGAGCAGCAATGACTTATCCACTTTCCCCTCAGATGATCTCAGCACCAGATTAAACCCCACTACAGGAGGAGATGGCCCATCTCCTTCATAGAATCATAGGACTGTTGATGTTGAAGGGACCTTTAAGATCATCAGGTCCAACCATTAACCTACCCTGAGACAAAACCACCTCTAAACCATGTCCCTAAGTACCACCTCTACCCTTTTTTTAAACACCTCCAGGGATGGCAAATCCACCACTTCCTTGGACAACCTGTTCCAATGCTTGATAACCCTTCACAGCTTCACGTGTGGAAACACAACCCAAGCGCACCAGCTGAATGTGAGATTCGGCTTAAAAGAAAGCAGAAAGAAAATAAACACACCACAAAGACAAAACAACTGCACAACTCCCCATGGTGAGATCTGAAGTGGAGTAGGTTGGTTTTGCGTGGCATGATTTCCCTCTGCTCCCAGTGGCCTTCCTCGATATCATATAGATGGCTTTTTACACCAGTGAAATCTAGTTTCTGAGTGCCTTCTCATTTTCACACATGTCTCTAAGGGAAGATAACCTCATCATCACCTCTGGTGGCTGAACAAACACTCAACTGGTAAGATCCTGCACTGCATGGGGTGGAGGACATATACCAAAGAGGGAACCCGAAGAAATATCTGCCTCTTGATCCCAACACCCAACCAGCGACCTCAGTGTGCCCAGGAGGGAGCCCGGGCTGGAGAGCCACACTAGGAGAAGGAAGATAATAATATCGACTTTATGGACATTCCATCTCTTCTCCAGCTACGCCCCTCCCATGTCTCCCACCAAACTGCCTAGTTTCATGGCTGCAAAGTGTCTACTGTGCTGTACAAGCGTCTGGGGGAGAGGAAAAGAGGGGCTGAGACGTCTCCGACAATTCCCCAGTTGATACTGGAGCTACTTTCAGACAGGGGAGAGAAAAGGAGAACGGGCTTATAAAGGAGACACCGAATCCCAAGGGAGAAGGAATAAGGGGGAGGTGAGCTTCAAAGATGTGCAAAATCCACATTCAGCTGCTCATTTGGGACCAAGGCAGAAAACGGAGGGAGAAATCTTAGTCCTGTTCCCATTTTCATTCACCTTAAGTATTTGCACGGAGGGGACTTGGCAAAGTGGGGATCCGGGGCTTTCAGTGGTGCCCACTTCCCGCTTTTGTCTACCAGATGATCTCCGCTACGGCCACATGGCACTGCCGACCTCCCTCGGGGCTGCCTGGAACCACTCTGCCTAATAGTTCTTGTAACACACCAGGTTAAGGGACTGAACTTTGATGGATCTCAGCAAACCCTCCCGCTCAGTCTTCAGACAGGAGTCCTTAAGGGTCAGACTACTGCAGCTCACGAGAACGTGGACCACGGCCATACTTATTTCTCTGTTTCCTGAAGGTCAGATTTTTGGCAAAGCTTTTAAACTTCACGCTGCTGCTGTGTGGAAACTTTTCAAAAGATTTCCCAAAGAAATTCCACGGTACGAGCTGTCAGGCTGGTTAATTGATCTCAGCAGGACTGTCTCGCTTGAGTATTTGTGGGCTACCAAGATTCTGCTCTTCCCAGTCCTAATCGGAGAACAAACAACACTTCAGCACGTTCTCTTGTTCTCGGCTTAGTGCCTTAATCAATGAGAAGTAGCACGCGTAACCTGCAGCCCAGTGCAGGTCATTAATCATTTACAACCCAGAAACTTTGAAAGGCTTTTATCCATGTTTTACATGTCATCGAGCTTAAGATGAAGACATCTTTCTGTTACTTAAAAACCCGTAAAGCAGTAAACACTTACGCTGCTGTACAGTGCAGTCATAGAATGGTTTGGGTTGGAAGGGACCTTGAAGATCATCCAGTTCCAACTCCCCTGCCATGGACAGGGACCCCTCCTACCGGCCCAGGTTGCTCCAAGCCCCGTCCAACCTGACCTTGAACACCTCCAGGGATCGGGCAGCCACAGCTGCTCTGGGCAACCTGGGCCACTGCCTCACCACCTTCATACTAAATAATTTCTTCCTAATATCTAATCTAAATCTCCCCTCTTCCAGTTTGAAGCCATTGCCGCTCGTCCTATTGCTACACGCCCTTGGAAAAAGTCCTTCTCCAGCTTCCTTGTAGGCCACCTATTAAATTCAAAGCAAAACCAAACCAAAAATATTCATCCTTTCTGCATAGAGACACAAACCTTCTGACGTCAATGGTTGGCTGCACTTGATATCCCACTGATGAATTGTTCTCCCTCTTACTTTCTTTTT